TCAACTTCAAATTAGAACAGTTTTCAAGCTACGTGCAAATCTATTATTGCTGAAATATAAGCTGGACTAAGGTCTTGAGTGTTAACATCAAATAATGGAATTTTTCTAATTCTGTGAGATATCTCAAATAAGTGAACAGAATCTTTAAAACTTCAGAGTTTCCTCTCATTAATTATTCTTAAAACATCAGTTTGCAGCTTATTTTCCAGGTATGAAAATGAGTGAACAGTAGCAAATAAATACTAACAGAAAAGATGGAAATAACCTTACTTGAAAACAAGGAAACAGCCTTGTTTTTGTTTATAAGTATAAGGTCAAGGGAGTGTGATTTCCTCACCAACATTAAATATTGTTGAAAAATGAAATAAATGCATAAATATTCATATGTGTATATAGAGAGATAGATATCTGTATCTAGATAAGTCTTCTTACACTAAATCAGAGTTTTTCGGATTGGAATAAATAAATTCATCATGTGACACAGAGTTCCTTGACTTCCAGGATGTTCTGCTTCCTGAACAAATTAGAGAGACATTGAACTTGGAAAACAAGAACAAAGAAAAAGTAAAAACCTGGCAAACCCAGTGTCAGAGATTTCCCACTGGCTCACACATCACTTAAATGAGGAAACCAGCAAGGACTTTAGCAGAACTGTATTTTCAGTATAACTTTTGGTCTGAAGTTTCTTTTCCATCCACGTGGACCTATTCTAGTGTTAAGAATGCCAAGAAATGCAGTTCTACAATGTTGCTCAAACACTATACAGATAACTCATGACATTGTTTTTGTTTTTATTTTTTAAAATATAACCATCAAGAAAATCATAATTGGTAAAGTTTATCAAAGAAAAACCAAAATACATTCCTTAGAAGTTATCCAGCAGCCTAATATTACCTTGCTCAATTATTTTTGCAAAGTAATTGTCTCAACGAAGGCTCTAGATGGCAAGAAAATGTTTGCAGCTCAAGGGTAAAAATGTGAAAATAACATGTCATTCGAAGGGCCTAATTATGCTTTTGGAAAGGGCACTGAACTGTAGCTATTTTCATTAGTGGGCATTCACTGTGCAAATTCCCACTTCAATCAGGCCTTGCCATCGCCCCAAAACCATGCCGTTTGTGTAAATATTAGTGTGATTTCTACCACAAGCATAAATCATGGGGATATTAACCAGATCTCCTTGAACAGTCCCACTGAGTTCCTCCTGGCAGTAATGAATCTCACCCAGCAGTCAGCTGAACATGTTTATCTTAAAATATTTAAACATTTACTTGGTGTAAAATAAGGGAGCAACAGCAGCATGTTTAATGGCACTTTTCTCAGCAAAAAAAAAAAAAAGAAAAAGGAGAAATAGACGTATGCATTTACAGTAACACCTTACAGACACATTCCAAATCTAAGAAAGAGGAAGATATAAAACCTCCTCTCAAAAAGTTACAAAGTCATTTCTCAAAAGAACCCAAACCAAACTAAACAAAACCCTCAAAACTTGGAATGTCCCCTCGCCCTAATTTTCCTTTCCTCTTCAGTGTTGACATTCTAGTTTTCTTTCCACTGTGTCTTTCACTTTGGTAAATCCCCTTAGATCTTTACCATATTAAATTAAAAATAGAAGTTTTTCCCAGAGTCAGCATTACTGAAACCAATCTAGTTTTACCAGTACAAACTCAACAACCAGGCCTGTAATTTGTGCCACTGACAGAATAATTCCCTCTCACTCCAAGCCTGAGCCAGGCTCACACAAGCAACAGCAAGACAGCAGGTCTCTCCATCAGTGTGGAACCCTCTCTGTCTTCCAGGACGCGTTTACACATCTGATAAGAAATTTGTATGTAATGTGCTTGAAAACTATTTGCAAATAGATCTGGAATCCTTGCTTAAAATATGGAAAAATAGATAAAATATTGCCAGCCACCTCTCACTGTGATCCTTTTCTTGTGACGACACCACACAAGCTGCTTCCATTGGTGCTCAGCCTCATGGAAGATGTGACTCACCTTCTGTTGCATTTTGAACATGTCTGGTCACACTACACAACAAAACAAACAGAAATTTCCATAGCTTTCCTTTGGTTTAGCCTTGTATATCCATGGTTCATACGGCAAATCACCCATCTGCTTCAACTCAGTGTTGCCTAGAATGAAACACAAATGCAAACCTCAATATATCTGAAGAGCCAATGCTTAAATTTCATTTTTGCCTACCTCTCCATTCATTAAAAGCTGTGAACATTAAAACAAATGTTATAGAAAAATAACCTGTATGTTTCCATGCAGAATGAAAGAGGACACACAATAGCAGTTAGCATTTCCAGATATAAGGCTAGGAACTTTGCTCTTGCAATGTGACTACAAAGCCACTAATGATTGTAGTGAGTTATGAAATTGCATTTGTAGCAGGTAATTGGCATTGACAATAAATGCAGAGATTTATAAAATTCAGTTGCTACACTAATACATGGACCACATCAGAAGATCTAGAAAACTTTCAATGCAAATTCACATTCTGCAGTTGTGCACCCTGAATCATAAGATATATTGTAAAATACAAAGTCAAGAATAGTCTCTATTTACAAAAAAAGCCCCCAAAAACAAAAAACAATTGGCTTGGCCAACACTTGTAAATCTACTTCACTTTCAAGTTTAAGGTTGTCTGTTACTACCTTCACTATGTCTAATCTACTTTATTTAATATAGTTTATAAAACTTTTACAGTGAAGAACATGGTATAGTATATATTCTGGCATCCTTATTTTCATCTGGGTAAGTCCCCTTAGTATATCACCTTGGTAAATTACTATCTTAAATTTAAAAGAAAAGTTTCTCTCATAGGCATTGTTATTAGGGAGGAAAATAAGTGTCTAGCACTTATTTATGAGTGAAGGATATCTCTATTTTCCATACCCTTATATCCAGTCCACCATGAAGTCCTATCTACTCTACATTAAAGATCTGTCTATTGTCTTTTTGCTGCTCTTCCCAGGCCTGGTTCCCATCCTCTCTCAGCTGCAGTAGTGCAGCAGCCACTTGACTTGTCTTCCCACTTTTACTCTTGCCTTCCCTCCCCCGTAATCTATTTTGCACACGACAGTCAAAGACATATTCTTAATATTTTTTACATTTAATTTTAATTTTTATTTTACAGAGAGGAGAATGGAGGGAGAATGAGAGGGTGAGAAACATCAATGTGAGAGAGAAACACTAATTGGTTGCCTTCCACATGCACCCAGGGAACCTTACCTGCAATCCAGGCATGTGCTCTGACTGGGAATCGACCTGACAACCTTTTGGTTCATGGGATGATGCCCAACCAACTGAACCACACCGGCAGGGACATATTTAAAATTTTAAATCAGATTACCTGACTCCCTTTCTTAAAAGCTCATAAAGGCCTCTCTCTGCACTTAGAATAAAATCCACACCCCTTGGCTTGGCCCACATTGTGCTATATCCTACAGCTCCTCATGCCCTACCACGCTGCTTTTCATTCACCATGTTCCAGCCATGCACTGGCCTTTTTCCGATTCCTTTTATGTGCCAACCACTTGCTGCTCCCTTTGCCTGAAACAATTGTTCCTCTGATTTCTTAAATCATACTGAATACTAAATACCAATTGTAGTTTCAAACAGCAAAGTTATTGTTTAGCCATTTTCTTTTCTTTGAGCCACTGGGTAGATATTACTGGTTCACCATTATCTGTCTTCTTCTTCTTAGACATAAATGAGATGATACTTGTTAGCCCATTTATAGTCCCTTATAGCCATGTGACCCATGCTAGCCAATGAAATGTGAGCATGAGGCAGATGTGTCACTTCTGGGCTGAGAAAATGAGCCTTATGATCTTTGCATGACCAGTTCCCCATCATCATTTAGATTTTGGTCCAAATATCATCAACTCAGGGAGCCCTCTCACCTCCAGTCCAGTCACTCTGTCCACATAACCCTGTTTTGTTTTTTTCACTCCATTACACTACTTACTACTTGAAGTCATTTTTGTTAAGTTTCATAAGACAGTGATCTCTTTTACCTTTTGCACTACATTTTTTCCTGTGCCTAGTGCAGTGGCTGGCACATAGCAGTGTTCAAGAAATGTATATTAAATATATGAAAAAAGTGGAAATCAGTAACGTTCAGCCAAGTTTTACTCTTCAAAACATCAAATATGGCAAACCTCATTTAGTCAATCATTAATTCATTTATCCACCCATCCATTCACAGATTTATTCAATAACTTTCACTGAGCACTTACTATGAGTCAGACACTGTACTAGACAATGCAAAAGTGAGTAAAATGGGGTCCTAGCCATTGTGGCACTCATAAGGCAGTGGGATGGTAAAATGTAAGCATGTCATTATTACACCATGGAATACACTGTAAAATAAAGATTGGTGCAATGTGCTATGGGAGAAACAGAGAGAGAGGAATTAGTTCTTAAATATTTATTGAACCATTTCACTACGAATACTATGTTATGTTTCTTAGTATTTCAATCTAGAAGTGCTAAATTGTGAAGCTTAACTTATGTTATGCTGTGATGCAATGATCCTTGTCCTCAGAAAAGCATTACCAGTCTAATTTAATAAAATGTTAAGCATAGTTTGGTAAATTCAAATTTAAATGACATGCCACTTATTTTTCTAGAAGTGCTATTCTGTTTTTATCCACAGAGTAAAATTGTCATTATGCCTGGGTTGCACCACTGGGTGTAGAAGCTTCTGTTTTTCCAAATAGAATTTGTGAGTCTAGTTAGTCATTTAATGTCTTTTTGCTTTGGTTTTCCCACTGATATGACATAATGTCAGAAAAATTTCTTCTATTATCCTCAAGCTAATAATGTTTGAATTAAGTTCTTTTTTTAAAAGCCAAACAAGCCCATTGCATATCTTGGACAAATATTTAAGTTGTCTTCAAATAAATCTTGAATTTTTGAATCCTGCTTTAATATTTAGGGAGCTATAATCTTGAGAAAAATAATCTCTCTAAATCCCAATTTCTTTAGCTATAAATTTGTGTTGCTCTTTTAAGAACTAAGTTAATGATGAGGGGAGCCAAGTTTGCTAAAGTAATTGTGGTGATAGAAATGCAGTAGCCTCAGAAGCTACTAGGTGGTTCATTCTATCTCAGTACAGTGAACAAAAAAAAAAAAAAGAATTCAGTTAATAAATGTGCTTGACCTAAGATAAGCCCACAATAAGTAGTAACTATATTTTTATTAGCAGTGTTTTATTTTTAAAATACAATTAATCTGTATTATTTATTTATTCTATTTTTATGAATTTGCCTACTGGCTACAATTTATTTATAACCTAAAAGCAATACTTTGGCACTTCTACAGTCATTTGCACACAAGTGCTTGCACAGAGCTATGAAAAACCTGAGTTACCTGAAGTGAATGTTTCTACTGAAGTCAAAAAAGATGGCATTATGCCTTTTTTGTCTCAGCTCTCATGGTGTAAACAACTGTCCTTTTCATGGTCTGTTTAGTGCCATACTTGACTCATTATTGTAATTTTGGTTTGAGATTTAACTGTTTAAAATGGTACTCAAACATAGTACTGAAGTGTTTTCCTAAGAACAAGAAGGCTATGTTGAGTCCTACAGAGAAAATACGTGTTAGATCAGCTTCAGTGTGGCACAAATCCTAGGACTGATGGCCGTGACTTTATTATTAAATAAGTAGTTTTGATTTTTTATGTTTTTAAAGATTTTATTTATTTATTTTTAGAAAGAGGAGAAGTGAGAGAGAAAGAAAGGGATAGAAACATCGATGTGTAAAAGGAACTTTGATTGGTTGCCTCTCACATGTCCCCAACTGGGGACTTGGCCCCCTAATCCAAGCATATGCCCTGACCAGGCACTGAGCCAGCAACCTTTTGGTTTGCAGGATGACTCCCAACCCCCTGAACCACACCAGTCAGGGCAATTAAGTTGTTTTTATACAAAAAAAGTGCATAAACAAAATTATACATTGATAAGTTGACAAAAAGGTTTGCAGTAATCTAACCCCAGGGAGCAATTGTTCAATGTTTATTAATTCTGTGTTCATGGTGACTTTATGGAACATAAGTGCCATGAATAATGAGAATCAACTGTGTTTGTATCAGAGCTTGCTTTAAAAACACTTGCTGTTTAGTGGAATTCTACACAAAGAAGAGTATTGGTATTCTCAGAATAACTTTATTCCTATAAATACCAGAAGTACCTAGTTATATCAATATTGGATAGAACCTAGAAAATATTAAGAATCAAAGCCAAATCTAATTTATGCCACTCTAACTAGAGTTCTCTTGGTTTTGTCTAGGTCGACCTGGTAGGTGGTGAAATAAAACAGAAACATGATTTATAGAAACATAGGTTTTACTTCTGAATACAAGCTGTGCCAAAAGTAGGTATTCAGTTGTTTGTATAAAAAAATAATACAATAATTAGTAAATAATAATAACAGAATAAACTGTGTTTCACATATTCACAACTATAAACCTACTTTTTCCTTACTCTGTATATGATTGAATGAGAAGACATTTTGGAAAGAGGAAATTTTATTCCTTAGAGAGCAAAGCATATTTCCCCTCATCAAACTCACACACAAAGCCAGGACATTAAAGAGATGAAATGCCTTGAATGAGAGAGTGTTGTCACAAATTCTTTCTTCCATGAAACTGCAATTATGCAGAAAGTCTCTGGCATTGGTTACTGGTTTGCATAAAGGTATTGAAAGCAATTATGGAGAGGAGATTGGGACTGAACACATTAAAACATTATCCATAATTATTGCCTAAACATCTCCCGGAGGATAAGCCTTAGCCTTGGCAGAGACTTAGGCTCAAGGAAGGGAGAGGAGGGAAAGGCAAATTTATATCTGGGACAAAGCTCAGGCAAAGTCTAGACTAAGAAAGTGGTTCTTAAACATTAGTGGGATTTAAGAATCACACCAGAATCAAAGTAAAATGCAAATGTCCAGTTTGACTTCCTGGGTGGGATTATCCCTCAGTAGGAATAGTTACCTGAGTTCCAGGAATTGGCAGTTTTATAAGGAATTCTGATGCAGATTGTCCTGGACCACAGTTTAGGTGCTGATGGGTGGACAGCCAGCTTGGAAAAGCTGTGACAGTTGCTAATAGAGTCCTTCCTTTCCAGTCACCCAAATGCATTCTCATGCATTATTCTGAAGATATAATGAATAAATAGAGTGGTTCTCTGAAAGAAAAAAAAAAAACCTTACAAGGGTGTGCTGACTAGACTGGAAGAATGAAGGGTTCTGAAAACAAAATTTGTCTATGAATAATTTTCTATAACTTTTTCTGTTATTTTTGGGGTGTATAAAGTGAATGGAAAGAGTGTATGTTGATATAATGCTGAAATGGGACATTTGATGATTAAAGTGATAATATCAGTTACTTTTAAATTTATATTAATTGCTTCTAAATTAAAATTAAAATTAAAATTTAAATTTAAAATTCAGACCCAGCGCTGGTGCCAAGTTTGAATCTGTACCAGTCTGGTGAATACCACTTGCCCCTACCTGGTGACTTAGAACTTGGTTCACACAACTTGAATACCATAAGAGACTCCATCAGTGGCTGAGATTAATAGGCAGCTAGCAGGTCAAGGTGGATGTTGGAGTGCCTCAGGCCTTTTGCTGACTTACGTAGCCTGGGTAGTGGTGGTGGAAGTTAACCTTGGTATGCAGCTTGGCCCCTCCCATGCCCAGCAGAGAAAACCATCAGCCATGGATAGCTTTGTAGCTCCTAACAGGTAGCCTAGGGCCAGTCATAGTGTCTGACATTGACCTGTACCACAATCTCTCAAAAGGCCCCAGAACCAACACATCTAGTTGTTAGCTTCAGACCACATCAGAGCACAGTGCAATTAGCTCAACAAGTGGCACACTCAAAGGAGTGTTTTGGTAGGCACCAGACCCTGCTGGAGCAAATTCCACTTTGTGGGGTCAGTCAATACACACCAGTTCATATATTGTGGTTGGGGTCAATCCTCACAGTTAGCCAACCTGAAGGACAACCCCACCCATGGAGAGGCCCAAAACAATCAAGACTAAACTACAGTAGGAGGGCTCACATAATTGCACAAGTGACATTTCTGGATCATCTAGTTCAGGCCAGGGAGAATGCACCCCTGAAACCCACAGAACACCTACTGCATAAGATTATGTTACCAAGATGGGAGAAATAACAGATTTACTTAATATGCAGAAACAAACACAGTAAGGCATTCCTGGTCAGGACACATACCTAGGTTGCAGGTTTGATTCCTGGTTGGGGCATATGTGGAAGGCAACTGATTGATGATTCTCTCTCTTCCTCTCATTCTCTCTCTCACTCTAAAATCAATAAATACTTCCTCAGTTAGGGATTTTTTTTTTAAAGAAAACCTGTGTGGAATATTGAAGGAGAGGAAGAGCAAGTTGTCGTGTGGTTGGGTGGTTCTGTGTGGGGGGGAGAATGGGAGGAGATGAGGTTAGAGTACAGAATCTCCTAGACCATTGTAGCAATTTTGGCTTTCATTCTGAGTGAAATAGGGAACCACTGAATGTTTTTGAGAAGATATGTTACTTGATCTGACTTTTGTTTTTAAAGGATCACTCTGACTGTCATGTTGAGAATACCTTGTTAGAGGACAAGGGTGGGAGCAGAGAAAATGGGAGATTATTGCCATGATCAGTTGGGAAGATGACAGTGACTTAGATGATGGTAATAATGAAGATGGTCAGAAGTGGTTAACATTTTGGTAGATTTTGGAGACAGCCATCAAAGTTTCCTGAAAGTTTTGATGTGGAATGTAAGGGAAAGTCAGAATTCATGGATGTATCCCTGGATTGAGTAAATAAAGGACAGAGGTGGTATTAACTGAGATGTTATCTGTGCTTTACCTAGCACTGCACCTTACTCAAAAGCCTACAAGCCTACTAATAAGTATGAACTGCCTAGGTTCTAATCTTAACTCACCACATACTAACTTTATGACCTTGAGTGACTTACTTAACCTCTCTGTGCCTCAAATTCTTTTTATAGGAAATGGGCATAATGATAGTACCTACTTCATGGAGTTCTTAGCATTAGTGCATTGATATACGAAAGCACTTAAAAACAGAACCTAGCATATAGATGTTATCTAACAGTACTGTTACACACTAAATGTGAAAAAGTTGCAACTCTTTTTTTCCCATATCCCTAAGAGTTGGTTTTTCCCATTTCTTTTCACAGTGAGTCACTTAGTGACTTTTAGTTAGGAAGTTGTAAACCTTTCTGGGAACTTCAGAATAAAGGCTAAGTGTGATTTCCATTTGCCAGTTTGTCAGATAAATATTTAAGGAATGAAAAAAAAATAATATTTCAGTCAGAGGAAATGTCCACACATTCAAATATTAAAATTAAAAGCAGTTATACTCAGATTCATGCTTCAGCCTTTGATTATGCTAGAACAAAGTGGGGAAATGTTTGAAAAAGAGACCTTAGATAGCATCTAGTTTAAGCCTTCCTGTAGTAATTTCACATTGTTATGTAATCCAGATGCCAGTGCCCAGGTGTCACCTGCTTAGGAGCAGCTAGACTTCTAATATGGACATAAGATTTCAAGCCCTTTTAATAAACATGGGGGAAACTCAGCATCTATCTCAATATCTTCAGTAATCTTTGAGTGACTTATACTTCTCTTCATCCTATTCCAATTTGCTGTTATCTGATGAGATCTCAGTCTCCACCCTTCTCTGATATCTTTTTTCTATCCCATTCCTAACATTGGACACAACTTGCATTACTCTCATTTCACAAAACACCACTAATATAAGGTCAAGTTTGCAAAGGTTATACTGGAATTTGTATTAACAATAAAGAGTTACAGACTTGTCAGTATAGGAAATATCCTCAAAATCACTACCATCATTCCCCTAAAATCTAGCAGTTAGTCCCTGTTATATAGGATTTCTGACTCCAGAATTCATCACTCCCACTTGTATTTTTAAGGACCCAGGTCTTTCCTCTCCCAAGTCACCTCCTATCTTCAAACCTCTAATTTTTATTTCATTAGGCAAAGCAGTTTAATACTTGAGCTAAACTCTTCCAATCTAAACTATGCCTTTAAATGTTCCTTCCATAACAATCAGATGCATTAAGA